GGTGAACCGTTCATTTTGGTGTTCTTTGAGCCGAGCGCACGTCCTTCCGCTTGATCCATATCACCCGGCTTCTTGATTCGTCCACTTCAGAGACTGATTTAATTGCCTGCCACAGAGCCTGTGAATGGATCTTTAAGCAGCCTTGTGGTGGAATAAGTAAAAAAAGAAAAAGGCTTTCACATTCCATCCTCATAGTTGATTATCTGCGGTGTTGTGTTCCAACGATAACCATCAATATATATATATATATATATATATATATATATATATTTTTTTTTTTTTTTTGCGGTCAGTCAGTGCCGGAGGCCAATCACAATTTGGAGTTCCCACTTTGCTGAGGCTTCACTTTTTTCACCAGTGAGACAAAAGCAGCGATAACCGTATGTGAAACACCAACGCTGCCACGGTTCGAGTTATTCACCGTATTACATGTGATGTGACCCCCCCCGCCCTGCACTTCCCCAACGCGGCCCCACTAAAGCGTATCAGCGCTAGCGCCATTGCCTCTGAAATGACAATGATGGATGTGCATGCTCATTTTTGCGCAGTACGTCAGATAGAATACAATGGCATAGCCCATATTGCATCACATGGACTTTTTTGTGGAAGCGGGTGGGGGGGGTAGTGATTTATATTATCTTAATGGACTGCAGTTGCTACATGGTCATGTTATAATGACACAGTGTGTTATTTACACACATACACAACTCATATCCTGATTGACTGCCGGTTGATATTTGTGTCACAGTGGTGGGGGGAGGACGAATTGATTCTCCTCAACAAGACGTCCCAGAAGAATGAATGAATTATGAAGCATGATCCATAACGACTGAGATTCTTGCACTGGGGCTTTTTGTGCGGCTGTGCATCAGAAACTTTTTTTTCGACAATATCAAATGTGCAGCAAGGCAGACTTTAATACAGGACTGTTGGAATTAAATTCTGATTTAAATCATTGATCCAAATTGAACGCTCCCCCCCCCGCCCCCCAAAAAATCTAGTTACCTGTTCAACCTGGTCAAAGTGATATATCAGCCCATCCGCCATCTTGCATGTGGCTTTAATATTAGCCACAAAATTGTCAAATAATATTGTAAAACTGAGCTAGGATAATATCATACAATCAAACGGAATACTTGGGCATTTATGCAGTGATGTTTGCTTGATGATACATCTCCGAAGAGGAAGCATATTTACAATTTGTTTCACTTTGCCACATCCAATATGGCTGCGGCATCGACGTACTAAAAAAATGCGGTTGTCGCCAAAGGCGCCATTCAAGATGGGATCGGCAGTGCTACATAAATGATTGATCGTTATTGAAATGGGTGTCTGTAGGCACTTTATATTGCCTGACTTTGCACTAGGTGGCAGTGTTGCTATAAAAATACTGTTGAGATGAAATAGCCTGGCTACACTCTGGCCTTGTTATTTTGCCTCCCGACACCACACACTTAAACCGGTTAGGGCCAATTAAAGGGGCGGACGAAAACCCACTTCCGTCCTTGCTTAATCCGTCCTTTTTAGAAAAAAAAAACGTCTCATCCGTCTGGGACATTTTTACATGATACATTTTGTGCAATAAGATAGATGTCCAACACCACAAAATGGTGACTTTATTCAAACACTGGAATAACAAAACCTCTATTCTCACAATTGTGATTTTTTTTTTAATCGCTTTTATTTTCACACAATTTTTCTTGTCTTCTGAGTTTCGAAAAGATGCATAATCTCTCTTTCTCTCCTGTCCCTCGAACAGAAGTTTGACGCCATCATCCTGGCTGCCTGCCTGTTCTCTTAATCTGGTAAAATACACACACACACACACACACACACACACACACACACACACAAACACACGGTATATACTGCATATGGGAGATGAGAGAAAATGCGGCAGAGAATATAAAGAAGCACAAAAGCATACAGGACGTTGAGGAGGAATAGGCAGAGCGATGTTGAGTGGGATTAAAATGACAAAATGAGAACGGTGTCGGCATGAATGCTTTATACATTTCTACACCATGCTGCGTATTTCATGCAATAGTCTATTCACGGGAACGACTGCGAATCTCGCTGCCCATTGTATGCTTGTGAGCCTATGTTACATTTTGAGGGATTAGTGCTCTTTTCAAACAGAAATGCGATTCATTTTTAACATAACACCTTGGTGAGTAACCACAGTTCAACGTCAAATCAGGAAACTCATTGGGGCACAGTGGTACCTCTACTTACGAAATGAATTTGCTCCGAAAGAAATTTCCTAATTCGAAGATTTTGTAACTAGAGACGCGTTTTCCATGTAAATGCCCTAATCCGTTCCAACCCCCCCAAAATTTAGACATAAATGTTTTCTAAAGCATAAAAATGCATCGAAATATGTAACAAATACATGTACCCTGTAACTTGATAACATGATAAGCTGTCCACTGTAGTAAGCGCATTTCCTGAAAGTGTTCAATGCAATATTTGTACATGTCAACTCAAGAACCCTGCTGATTTATGACAAGTGGCCTCATGGAGCCGAGGGGCACCAAACCAAAGATTTAAATGGTGACACAAGCCGGCACGGGGACTCTCAAGTCAAGAGTTAATCAAAAATTGAAACCAATAGTCGAGCTTTACTTTGATAGGTATCCCACTTAAGCAACTTCACCGATAAAATCGCCCACATTTGATCAAGGGAAGTTCCGCAGGAACCCTTCACATTTGAAATGGTATTTGAAAGAGTCTAAATGTGGAATTCCAAACCAAAAATTGTTCACAACATTTCCACGCGTCAAAGCAAAACGCCAATTTGATTTTGAATGAGCGGATCAATGTGGCTTGAGGAAGCAGACGTGAATGGTCCCCCCGGAGTTAATTGCTCTGAAATCATGCGGATTATGAATACTGTCTGATCGGAGATGCTCTGGAGTAGCTGAGGTCATCTGCTGGCTCACTTTTCTGCTTCAGCCCTCTGCTCGTTTTCCATTTCAAACATCTTTTCCTCTCTGCTCATCTTTGATGGCCTCAAAGGACGACACCCTTCCGCAATCTTCCCACATGGTCTCTTTTAAAAACATGATTCATCTTCAAAGTTCGAGGATGACGCGCTTTAACAGAACACCAAGCTGAGTGGAATCTTCAGAATCCCTTGTTTGTATTTACCCTCGCTACCCCCCCCCCCCAATTTAATACACTTGGCATTTAAATTATAGATGGTTCAGTGCACGTGTCGGCAGAAGGATCTTGTAGCCTGATCCCAGCTGACGTATTAAAAAAAAAAAAAGAAAAAGAGAACACTGGCAGAAACGTCTCGGCGGGCCCACTGGAGGTCGGAGCTTTAAGCTCCACCCCCTGCTGTACGCGTCCTTATCAAAGCAGGCTGATCATTTTACAAGCATCATGCGCTACATTTTAAAACTGTGATGTGCAGGTGGAGTGCTTGATGGGTAACACTTGACAGAATCTGACATGAGCGGCAACGCGCTGCCACATGGCATTCAGATTGCAAAAAAATGCAGTAAAAAGTCGAACACTAACAAAGAGAAGATGCTAACTGTTAGCTTATCTAGTAAATACACTGCAGCAAACTCTTAAACTTGTCATTGTGATAGTGGGGAATGACTTGACAAATTAATTAACATACAAACAAACCAGACAACAAGCAATTCACTAACCAAACAATCAACCAAACAGACGAGTAACAAATTAACTAATCAACCGACGAACCAAAACCGTGAGTCACTAAACAACTAAGTAAACTAGCATATAAAACTCTCACCAAACAATTCTCCACCAAACCAAACAACAAACCAAGCAAATGCGCATAAACCATCAAGCTAGCAGCGGAAACAAACAAACCACGAATCGCTAATCAAACTACCCACTAAAAAAAACAATTCCGTAATCAAACGACCGCACTTTCTCATTTAATATGTTCAACGTTATGGTTGTTGTTGGCAAAGCAGCTTTTTCACGTCACGCTATTGAACTGAACAGAAGAGGTTTCGGAGTGTCAGCGGGACACGATGCGTTTACAGGAAGGAGCCTGAAGATGAAGGCGGTGGAATAACGCTAGCGCACAGCGGGGTGCGCTGGCTGAACTTGCCGGGCGGGAGCAGATGTCACACTGCATATGACGTACAGTCAAATCGTATGTGGGATGACACCAGCACCAACAAGCTGTGGATTAAACATCAAGGAGGCGCAGGATTAGCGAACAACTGCTACCCACTCGCCGGATATTTAGTCCTTCCCAGCGATCGCAGTTTTGCCTCGGTGAAGTAGGTCCTATACAGTCATCGTGAATCAGACCTATAAATGTGAAAACCAGGGTGCACTTTGACCAAAGAAAGAGATTTACAGATGTGAAATGTTGCATATTGATTCCCTACTTTGTGAAACCATTGTTGATCGTTCTTGCGAGAAATCAGGAACATGATCAGTGTCTTCACACAGACAAACATTATTAATCATAACATATAATTACTTTTAATTTGAAGTGTGTGTGTGTATCTAACTGTTATTGCTTCGTTAATCAGTACCCAGGAAGGAGCTCTCAGTTTCAAAAACACAGTCTCAGCTTTAGGGTTTTATTTAGCTTGTTTTGAGTACAACACACACGAGAGAAGCAGTAAGAACGCAAAGTCTTAGTCTGGCAAATGTCAAAATCGGTTTCATGCTGTATATGGGGACCCCGCTTTAGACTCCAGCGGTCTTCCAATACTTATGACCACATGACAAAGTTTGATTTACATCTTAACACTGTCAGTGGACGAAGATCATGATTTTCTTTTCTTCTAGTTTCCCATTTAAAAGTTCATCCTCAGTCACATCCTTCCAATGTGCAACTTTTATTACAGTCGGCGAACTTCATCTCACCAAACCCAAGAAGCTCTCCATAATACAAGCGTTTTAAAAGATGAAATTAAAAAAAAAAAAAAATGTTTTAAATGCCAGTCTCCCAAGATGAGCACGTTCATGCAAATTGGCGTGCATGAGTGTGTGTATGTGTGCGAGAGAGAGAGCACAGTTACTGGAGGAGAGTGCAGCACGCGTGACACCAGTGGCGGGAGGCCAGAGTCAGAGCGCCGCCTGTGTGAAGGCAGCGGTCGACGAGGTCACCGCTCTGTGCGCTAAACAATGCTGCTGGTGTGGCGGAAGCTCGGGCTGCAGGACAATGGAGGGGGTTATAAGTGAGGTTGACTCCGTTTTGGAATGAGGAAATTCCATCAACAAAAGGTTTAGTACCTTGTTGTTCAAATTTCAAAGAATTCTTTGGTGATGTCATCCAAAAAAAAAAGAAAGAAAGAAACTTTGGATTTGTATGAATGGTTTGAATTTAATATTTTGAATTGACCTTTTGAGGCACATTTCTACACATAATGTTGGTTGAACTTCACTCTAGAATGAAGAGTACATGCTTTTTTTTTTTTTTAAACTCTTATAGCCAAGAGTTATCTTTTATTGACCATCATCCCGGTGCCTACCGGCCTACATACACGCTGGGATCACTTAGTCGAAAATACATGTGTAACTTGGACCTTTGGCGTATCTCCCCGAGCGACCGTCTGCCCCACAAAGCTCTTGTCCATCCTCCCTCGTGTCTGTGCTGTGCGCTCGTGGCCCATTTTTTCTCTTCAGTTACAAAAGTGCCGGCCTTCCTCCTCATCCTTGTGTGGGCCACCTGAATGCTGAATAATGGACACTTTCCCCAGCATCCTTGATTTTTATTTATTTATTTTTATTTATTTTTCCCACAAACATCAATCATTTCTCATTGCCACATTTCAGTTTTTTTTTTTTAATGGCTCTAAGAAATAGTGTTTGGCTCAGCTTCTCTCTCTCTCTCTCTCTCTCTCTCTCTCTCTCTCTGTCTCTCTCTCTCTCTCAGGGAGCGGAGAGAGGGCCGCGTGTGTCTAGGGCGCACG